TGTACAAATAAACTCCAGCTAGTGCAGTCGCCGTACCTGTGTTAAGAGATCATTGAAAATAAGACTCTACTAAAAGTGAAGTTTCAAGAAATGAAATGTAACAAATAATATATACTATATATTACCTATAGAATTAAGAGGTGATACTGGACTTTGGAAGAAAAGAATGGATGATATAATAACCACCACACGCTTCACACAGTTCCCTACAGAGTGTGTGACTGGAGACACCATCTCTAAGATCATATACGATACCTAAACCGAGACACGGTCAATACTGATTGAAACCGAATCAACAAACACTAAATCGATTAATTCAATTTTTTTAAACCATATTGTACGGAAAAACCTGTTGGTAGCTATGCAAGCAAACGCCAGCAAGAAGAGACATGAGGCAAAACTCTTTTACAGTCAAACCCTGACTTGTCTGTCAAGAAACCACAAAACAAAACACATAAGTTCTTGTTCTGTTTCTTGGTTTTTGGAGATATGTATCGGTTTATGTGTGTTCACTTACAGCTATTTGTAACTGTGAAGGAGTAAACTTGAACCCATCCATGAGGATTGCTACAGGAACCAGTAAGACAAAGGAGATTATGGTTATTACAGAGAAAAGGTTGATGTTGTCCAGAGCTTCCTGTTTCAATGGAAACATTAGTAGATTTTGATCACTGATAAACAAGCTTGGTTTCAACTGAGTGGATCTTCAGTTGTTTTACCTTTTCAACCATGAATTTTTTACTGAGAACATTGCGTGATTGGTTGGTTACATTAGATGCCATTGCACTGCAGAAACCAATCCTGATTCATTTGAAAAAACATAAACCAAATCAATTTAAAGTTCATCAACAAGATTAATTTTCTTCTTGTGTTCAACTAGTTCATACCAATTAAAAGAAGCTTCTGTGAAAGATGCTAAAGAAACTCCACCTACGATTGGTAACAACGAGCAAACAATCCACAAACTCGGCCACTGACACTCAACAGAAATCAGTAAGAACTCAAAACATTTCGAGGACATGTCCACAAAACTAGCTCTATTTCGTAATTCAATATAATAAAATCAAAACCCTTCTTCAGTTTCTGATTAAAGACTCAAACTTTAGGTCAGTGTGTCTCTATTTTGGTTACCTCACCGAGCAAGAGAACAGAGAACAAGACGGTGAAGAAAGGCTCCATTGCTTTGATTGTGTGTGTGAAAGAGACGTTTACTCTTCCCAAGCTAACATTTGTTAACAAGTTACCTAATGTGTGAGCTGCTGCTAGTTGTACAATCGCCGGAAGCTGGAGACGAATCAGACGGTTAGATTTGAATCAAGGTCTCTCTTTTTTAGGGTTTTGTCAGAATCATTTTGATATACCTGAGAAGGGGAAATTTTTGGGCGTGGATGGAGTTGAAGGAGCCACATTATTGCTATCATCAACGTTCCACATCCGAGTTGAAATGCTGTTACAGTTGCTGGATATGGATAAACCCTAAGTACCTATATGAACAAGAAATTTAGGAGAAATCCAAGTGTGACCCAAGTTTCATATTGCTATAAAAGATTAATGGGTTTGGGAATTATTGATAGATCAAATTAAAAAAATCGAATCTTGAAACATGAAAAAACCGATATTCTAACTTAATGAGACAGAAGAAACCTGCTTGTTGAAGATATTGTAGTAGATATTGAGAAGATACCAAACTCCAAACATGGCTCCTAGCTTCAACCCTTTGACCAAATTACCTTTAGATTCCACATCTCCTTCCACATCTTCAGGAACTGTAGCTGACTTGAGCTTGAAGCCATTGAATCTACGGTTTAGTCTTAGAAACAACC